TCCCCCGGTTTTTGTCTGTGTTGAAATAATATCGCTCTTACGCCGAGTTCACTAGCGTCGGTTTGTAGGTAGAATATTCTTGTGTAGTCAGAGGGAGAGAGGCGTGGTGAGTCGCATATCACCGATTTGATGTGCTCGAATGCATGTAATTATGGTTGTAACCATGACCACTTTTCCCCTTTTTTTAATAGATGGGTGAGCGAGTCGATGCCGTCAGCGTAATTATCGATAAACTGATTTACCAGTTGCTAAACCCTAAATTTTTTGTATATCCCTTACATTGTGTGAATCTGGAATATCGCGTATGGACTGCAATTTTTCCGGCTCTTTGTTTATACCTAGCCCATTCAACGGGTGCACAATAAAAAAAAATTTCAGAGAACCCAATCTTATAATTTTTAGTGTGGCATGTTAGGCCGTGGCGCATTAAGTATTCAAGAACCTTGCTAAGGTGGTCTAAATGTGTTTCGACACTGTACGAAAAAATTAAAATATCTTCCAGATAGACTTGAACACAGTCATCAATGTACGCCCTAAGTACGAAGGTCATGGGTGTATATTTAAGTCCGAACGGAAGCACAAGAAACTGAAATAAGCCCTTTTTTATTCTGACACATGGTGTATCTACGTACGTTTTGTTGTAAGGATCATTGCCAGTAACCTGATTTTAAGTCGAGTGTCGTGAAAACTTTCACCCCCTTATGCTTCTAATCATTTCATTTAAATTAGGCATAGGATACACGTCTGATACGGTTACCTCGTTAAGACGCCGATAGTCGACACATAAGCGATAGGAACCGTCTTTTTTTCTTAGCCAGCACGACTGGTGCTGACCAAGGGTAGGTGCTGGATTCTATGAGACCTTGTGATTCCATGTCGTCTACCATTTCGTCTATCACTTGCTGTTTGTGTAGCGGGTACAGATATGGTTTTTGCGCGATGGGCTTCGGTCTTTTAGAACGGTATTATGTTCGATAAGCTTTGTGCGTCCACTGTATTGTTAAAAACCGCAGAATAATTTTCATATCATGCGTGTTAATAGTGCGCCCTTGTGTGTGAGTCGCCTGCTATATCTAGTGTTGATAGATCTACATCAGGTAGCGTATACCGAATACTCGCTTTCCAACAAGCTGTAGTGCGTCATGTCGCGCCTAAGTAAATTGTACATGCAGCGTAGTCCCAGGAGACTTCCTGTTTTGTTAGAAAGTCGTGTTCCAGAAGTACGTCACAGTACAGATTCTCTAAGATAACAGCCCCAAATTCTACTTGTAGATCCGCAATTTTCGTTATATGACTGTCAGCTAACCTAACTGAGGGTCTTTGTCTGTTGTGCACAATTCCAAATTTGTGGGCTATTGCTCGAATGGTATATGATTTTTGCGCTTGTGAGTCAAGTAAGGCCGTCACAAAGACGTTTTCAAATTCCAGATCCACGGCAGGAGTAGTAATTTTACGCGGACGTGTTTGTGCGGCAGTATTCAAGTGGTTAGCGGTTCGAACGGGGGATATTGAAACGGTGTGTGCAGTATTAATTACCATAAGCGGGTAGGCCGTCCCTGTCGTATTCCCCTCCCCCACGGTAATCAATATGTCATTGGCCCGACTCGCACTATTATCGTTACCTATTAAATCTATGATCGTGTGACAACTATTTTGAATAACCTTATGTTCCTCATTGTAGATGAGGGTTGTGGTGGTGTTGAGCTGTGGTGCTACAGCGTGACCACTATAATGACAGTGGGGCTGTAGATGTGATGGTGACTTTGTTGTGAGAGTGGTATGGTTGATATTACGGTTTAAAATAGTGTCATTTTGATTGAAGAAATAAACAGGAAATGATTAATTGAGAAATATTCTGAGAGATGGCGACTTGGGCCACGCAACGGATTGTGGAGTCGCCATCCTCATGGCTCCCTTGCAAAAGGAAAGTTGGGTCGTCCACCACTTAGGTGAGGGTCTCGATTATAAAAAAAAAACAACACCCGGACCATACGTGGATTAAAAGAAAATAAACAATAAGGAAACCAAATAATATTAAATAAAATGATATACATTATAGTGAAATAAAGTAGATCGTCGAATAAAACAATATATATATATAAAGTATTGTTGTAGACTATAATATACAGATACCTTGTAAATAAAACAAAATATGTTTTGTTTGATGTCACCAGTGGTGGACATATATTAGTATGTCGAAGACCGTTACCTTGAAACTAGGGAGAATTATTAGAGCTAAAAAAAAATTAAATGCACATAATTTTATAACAAAATTGTTGATATATAAAAGTTTATGAAATCAGTATAAACTTTTTTAATGTATTTTTATGAGATTCAATATCAATTAATAAATCTTAAATCTATTGCCTTCAAATATACTTAATTAAAAAAATAATATTAAATTGTAAGGTTTAAACTAATTAATTAGTTTTTTTGTATTTTTTTCCACAATTTCTTCCTATTATAAAATGATAATTCAATGATATCGGGGATACATCCATAAACATTTCAAGGAATACGACATTAGATAAAAGAGTAAAAATGTAATAAAGATGAAATTTTTAAAAAGTTTAGGTTAGTCCCCTCGATATAAAGAAGTTTAGAAAGAAGCTCTATTGTATATAGAAACTCTATGTATATTACGATATATAAAAATCACTTTTGAGATATTATATTTGAGTTTGTAGTATTTAAAGGTTAAGAAAAGGTAAGAAATAGGGTAGATAATAAAAGTATTGGACAGTGTGGTTAATATTTTATAAAAATTAAAAAATATATTTTCTAATAATATTTTAATTTTTAAATGATAGTAGGATAATATTAAACTTAGTTCCATTTTAACCATAGTTCATATATTTGAAAATTATTACCTTTAGCACTGTGTTGATATTTTTACGAAGAAATTATAAAAAATTATAAAAAAATTGTGTATTTTGTTACTTTTGTGACAACGTGAATAAAAATTGAAGGGCTTGATGCTGTCGTAATATACTTATCACTACCATTTACATGGGATAGCACTAGGCTACCCTGTTCGGGTCAACAATAATGGTATCTTAATAATTTTTTCGTTTAAAATATTTTGGAAACTGGGCTTATATTTTAGCTTTGATGCGAAGCTGAGAAGGTATTGATTTTACTATGATGTGTTTTTTTTTTGTGTCTGTTACACAAAATGTTTTTCTCAGCTCTCACCGAACGGATTTCTTTCAACGATACGTCAAAAGATCACAAATCGTATCTAGTCGAAGACATTACCCTCAAAAATTGAAAAAATTTCCCTCGTTCCCCGTAAATTGGGAAAACCTCCACAAAAACTATCAATTTAAAAATCGCTAATTTTCGAAAATTTTTCAATTTTTTTTAGTAAATAACTTTTTCAAAAATGAACATATTAATATAATATTTTTTTATATAGATGCCTGATATCATTACCTATCATTTTGTATATTTTTTTTATAAATTTGACCCTTTACCTGCCCACAGGGGGGGATTTAAATTGACAAATTTTTCACAAAAAATTTACTTTTTCAACTTAACTTTTGAAAATGTTTCGGAAGGTCTGACACTTTTATATATATCTTAAATTAAAGTAAATGTAATGTACTTTATTATGGAAAAAAAAAATTTGACCTCTGGACTTGTCTTCGTGGTGTAAATGGCTACCGAATGCTATTTTTGTGTGAAAATTCTCGATTTTATAATTTATGTTTTTTATTTAAACTGCTATAACTTTTTAAAAAATGTATGGATCAATACAATTTTTTCATGAGAAATAATATTTTTTAATAATCCCTTTTTCATTCGACATACTTTATCTTAATCAAGATATTAATAAGGAACTAGCAGATCATGCAGCTTTTGGAATAATACACCAATTTTTTAAAATTAAACACTATCTAAAGATTTGCATCGAAGCCCTTTTTATTTTGATAGTGATTTTAATCACTATCAGATATCATTATACTTGATCCAACTATGCCACGTCACCACTGTGCCGCGACCCCCCTGTGCTGGGTTTTTTATAAAATATTTTACCAATTATAATTCTAACCTAAACTTTTTAAAAATTTCATCTTTATTACATTTTTACTCTTTTATTTAATGTCGTATTTCTTGATATTTAGTTATGAAGCAAATAAGTACTAAACATTTTTTTTTTTTTTTGAAACCCTATTCCCCCCTTTTTTGGCTGGGACTTATTTGTCCCGTTTACATTTTTATTTAAAATACGTATTGCAAGTGGGCTTTAGATGTCCAGACCGGACGGTTGATACGATAATAGTAACCATTTACTTTATATAAGCAATTTTCGAGCAGGGACTCAGACGTATCGCCCGTCCTAAAAGGGTTAAAATATTGAAATCAGTATAAATATATATATATATATATATATATATACAAAAATTGTTCAGCAAGTAAGGAAACAGGTCAATAATAATTATTATTATAAACAATAAGTACAGTAGAAACCCGTTTACTTATAGAATTTTTATTTAGAGATGATGAAAAAAACAATTTTTCTATTTTCATTTGTATTCAAAAATTCCCATAGTACTATACTAATTTGAATAAGACTTCTAATTTCAAATAATTTTTATATGTTATATATTTATTAATATTTATTCTAATGAAAATGAATAAAAATAGAGTTCATAGAAATGTTTTAAATTATAAAAATATGTTTTATAGTAAAAAGTGTAACCAGTTGAAATATAAAAATTTTTATACTAGTTCTAAACTTTTAGAAATACATGTAATTATTTGCATTTCGTTAAGTGAATAAACAGTAAAAAATTATGAATTATTTTCAAATCTTGTGCCAGATTTCTATAAATAATTCACAATCATTATATTTATTTAAATCAAGGGAGATCGTCTTGGCCTGCTTTTCACTAAGTAAATATGTTTAAATAGTTTTTTCATTATTTAATTTATTTGTCTATAAATAATTACCAACTGCTACAATTTTCATACTTCCTTTTTTATATTGTATAGTACTCAAATTTTATAACTTGTTATTTGAGATATTACAATGCCAATTTTTCTAAGTATTAAATTTTATAGCTTGATTCTTTTTGTGCTTAAGCATATTGAATTAATTAATGGTACCAAAAATAGAATTAGTTTTTTAATTGAAAATGATGGTTGGAAAAATTTAACTGATGTGCTGTATATTAGGTATTGGAATCAAGAATACACATTACAACAAACATTAGAAACACCTATAACATCAAATAGTTACGATACTCGCATTCGTAGTGCAACAATAATTCTTGGATGTTCTTACGCCAACATATTGAAGACAATATTTTTTATCATGGACTGTTTTTCAGATTATTGTGAAATATTAATAAATCCAGAAAACAAAAACAAAAATGCGTACGACTGCACTATTGAACTAATTAAAACAATACCACATTTAAGTTATTTAGCATTACTAATGAAAGGCGCATTGGTTTCTATAGACAAATTACATAACATACCAATGGCAATTATTAAAAGATGTGAACTTATTTTGAATAATGTAACTACTATGTTGTGTAACGTGGAAACTTTAAACTTATCATTACCAATAAGAGTAAACCCATTAAATATTAAAAATATATTAAAAACCATAAAGCATTATTTTGACGAAAGAAAATTAAACCTAAAAGATGATTTAAGATTTTGTGAATTGAAATCTACAAATTTGGACATATTATGGGAAATTTTGAAAAAGAAATATGAATTTTCAAAAAAAAAAGGACGTAATCAAGAATTTTGGACCTTTATTAGTCATAAAATTAAAAGTTTAATATATTGGACTATTATTGAAAGATATAAGAATCTAGGATTCAAATTTGATTCAAATACCAAAAAAACACTTTTGCCAGACACGACAGTGAAATGTGAAACAGGTATATGTAATTTCCAAAATTTTTTACTTAAAAAATATAATAATATATTTAATAATTATCACGATTTTCATAATATGAGTTACTATATTTATAACAATTTTACTCTAGGGCAATACACAGTTCATGTTAATATAAATTATGTCGAAGTAAATTTATGTAAATTTTCTGAACGTAATTTGTAGAATTTAATTTAATTTAAGTTTAAGATAATCATTTTGAATGTTTTTTTTTCTAAAAGTGATTATAGAAGTCATAATACAAATAGCTATAATTTTAAACTACTTGTACAAAAAAATAACGTTTGCCCCATTAATATCCTTTTTATTAATCTATTATTTTTTCATTTTTATAATTCGATTTATTAAAAAAAAAAAACGATTGCATAGAGGAGTCATTGCTTAGTATGGATGTGGCATAGTTGGGACAAGTATAGATGATATCTGGCAGTGATTAAAATCACTATCATAAGAAACGCTTCAATACAAATCTGTAGATAATATTTAAATTAAAAAAAATAATGGATAATTTAAAAAGTAAAATTAACTCTTATTTCCTTATTTATATCCTGATTAGAGGTTTTATGATATATAAGTGTAATATATGAATAATTATTTATATTAGCAATTAAATATATTCTGAAATTGATATTGAATAATTTAGTATTGTAATTCCTTTGGAGAATTTGTATAAAAAATTATAAAGTAGTTCTAACTTTTATGGCAAACATGTATAGAAATTGAAGCTTTTGATGAAATAATTAAAAGAAAAAAATTGTTACTTATAAATAAATTTACTGGTCTAAAAAGAATTTTCATCAGATACCAAATAATACTTTTTTTAATCCATTTTTGTAACGATTTAATATCTGAAATTAGAATTACGCATATGTACTAAATAATAACAAAATCTTTCTAAATAGTATAAAAAATATTTATGGTTGATTATTAGGTTACGCATGAATAATCAATAAATATATTTTAATTAAAAAAATACTTAATAAGCAGAATATATTATTTGCAGCATATCGTTATAAATAATTATTTTAACATCATGAGTTGCATAGAAATGATTACTAAGACTTCTATTTAAATAAATTATTAAAATAAAAATACAAAAAATAGTAATTTTAACAAAATTTTGAGTTTTCCTCATAAATTTACTAATAATAGTAATTATATAAATTTCTAATCACATAGCAATCTAATTATTGAATGTTTTATTTGTTATAAAATTTTCTACTAAATTATATAAATTCTAAACTTACAAGTTAAGCTAAAATTGTGTTTAAACATTCAACATTTTTTAATTATAAACTTTCATCAAAATCAACTTAAAAGAATTAAAAAAATAAGTTAAAAATTTCATTTTGAATCGATATTTCGCACGGAATATTTTTAACATATTAAAAATCAATAATAATTTGATTATATAAATAAATATAAAAATAACAATTTAAACTAGTTCCTAAAAATTCAAAGCAGTGTTTCTTAATTTTGAGGAAGCAAAATAATTAAAATAAATTAAAAATATATTTAATGCAAGTTAGATTCATGTAAATTTTATAAAAACTGGTAGACTCATTACTATGTCAAACTCTTGTAAAGTATTTTAAAATAAACAAAAATAACATGTTTTTAACTACAGCAGCCATTTGCACATAGAAGATGAGTTGTTGGGACAAATTTTACTTGTTTTTTTGATTATAGTGCGTCATAATAACTTTAATTTAACATATGTTTAAAGGACGTATTTAATTTCGTTAAATGATTGGATTTTTTTAAAAATAGATTGAGAATTTTTTTTTGCAGAAATTAAACATTTTAGTTCTCTTATTACCCACTGAGGAAAGTAAAAAATTTTAAAAGGAACAAATCTGAGAGTGACAAAGGGCATCATTAAAAGCAGTAGAGGCTATCTTTGACATTATACTGTACGAAAGTAGATACCCAATTAAGCGAGGAAAGAAAAGTGTTGGTTCTTATGTAGTAGATTACCATAAGCTATAAGCCCAAAACGATCAAAGTCCCAACTAATATTAGGAATATTACAGTCACTACATATAACAACTGAGGAAGGAGAATACATTTGTATAATATGTTCAACTAAATTAGTGTGCGATTCGTAAAGTTTACGATAGTTAGTTTGAGAAATATATACAGCATCAAAAATGATTTTGGTATTAAAAGAATGAATTAAAATGATAGCAGTTGCTATATAAATTACTTCTATCAAGTATATACATATTAATACCAGTAAGTCCAAGTTCATTATATCAGGTGATAATCAAGTTTCCGAGATGATAATTGCATCATAAAAAGAAAATAAAGGAACATTTTCTCTTACAGAATCCATATTAATTTTTTAACTAAGATCTAAGATCTTTTTACAAGGATAACAAAAATTTTATATTGATATGTGATAGTAGCTTTCGTCGACGGAGTAAGTTGCGTCTTTAATACATTTTAGTTTTTGGCTGGTTTACATTACGATTATTATTGTTAAAAGGAGAATTAGTGATGATAATTGATGGGAAATCATTGCAATATTGAACAAAAATATTGAGTTCCCAGATTTTACCCTGATTTTGAGGTCTACATACATTTTTTTTAATGAAATTTTGCTCTGTCTGTGTACGGTCACGAGAATTAGATATGGAATCATCACTAAAATTAATAGGAATCTTGGAAACATTAAAAGTGTTAATAAAACTCTGATTACAAACTCTTTAGTTTATTATCTAATAGAAAAAATTAGTTTTAAATATCTTGGCTTCTTGGTTGTTTGGAATAACTGACTAAGTAAAATTAAAAAAAAAAATTATAAATTACGTGTTTAATTAACTAAAAATAACGAAAAGGACACAAGACAATAGTACAAAAAATATTTCAAATGTGTAAGAAATTCTTAACGCCATTTATTATAATTCAAGGAATTTTTTCCTTATTATTATTATTTAGTTCATATAAAATTCTTACATTACCATAACTTATGTACAACAAATTTGTGATATTATTCTTGTGGTAACCCCGCCTATTAAAGTTTTACGATAATTATCTTAAAAGCATACTAAATATTAGGCCAGGCTATGGCCTAGTTTCACTTATAATTTTGCCCACTGATGTATTATTCAATTCCATTATAACCAAAATATTTTTGATTATTTTTAAATAATTAAAAAATTAATTAAGTTTAGAATATTTTAATTTTAGAATCTTTATAAACACCAAGAGTTACACAGAAATGATTTCTACAATTTCTATTTAAATAATTTAGTACAGTATAAATGCAAAACAAATAGAGTTTTTCATATGAATTTATTAAATATTAATTATAAAATTCCCTAACTGCTTTACCAATCTTAACAATAACATTTTTTAAATTTACATAAAATTTTCTATTTAATAATATAAACATACTAGCAATCTGAGCTACAAAAAACGTATGTTGAAAGTATAACCTTTATTATTAGAAATTTTTGAAAAAATCAACATTAAAAGTATAAAAATAATAGGTCGAAAATGGGCATTTTGATTAGAAATTTTGCACGGATTATTTTTAAAATATTAAACATCAGAATCAATAATAAATTGAAAAAAAAATGTTTAATAATTAGTAATATTCTCAATTGATAGTAATAAAAAAAACTAATTGTAAATTTGAAATCGGCGAACAATGAGTTTAGAAAAGTATATTTTGGTCTTTGATAAAATTCCTTGCCAGTAAATTATTCGTTTTATGTTTATTTCAGTAAATTACATTCATAAGTAACAAACAATTTTGACTAAAAATAACTTTAATTTAATTTTTTGGTACATAACTCGTTATTGATTTCGCGTCTTCAAATAATAATACAAAAAACTGTTTTACATTAACATGTTAAGTAAATGTTGAATGACATAAAACTCATTTAAAGATAATGTTAATTAAACGTTAGTGAACAATAATATTAATATTAACCTCTAGTACATTATACAAAATGATAATTTATCATAACCCACTTAATTACTTAAATGATAAAAATAATTTGGAAAATATTTGTTTGACTTTTTTATATTAAACTGAGTAATCAGTATATCTTAAACTACTCGATTACTCACAAAATAAATACTGAATTGCGTGGTTGTAAAGGACATAATTGTTCGCTTAGAAATACATCAACTGACAATACAGAAAGCATATATATAGATAAAATCATAACTTCCAATAAATACTTATTATAATGTCATAAAAAATCAATTACCTACAATTATATGTAATGCTGCATATATTATACATGTGTATGAACTTAAAAAATTTTAAATTTAAAGTTTTATATCTTATAAAATAATAAAGTTATTTTAAAAATTTGATATGTCATTTTCTATAAAAATACATTTTATTAAAGTCAAAATATGTGTTGCTATTTAAAAAACGATAGCACAGTTGCGTGGAGGCAAAGTGCGGATGAGGCATAGATGAGACAAGTATAGATGATATCTGACAGTGATTAAAATCACTATCATAAGAAACGCTTCGATGCAAATCTGTAGATAGTGTTTCCTTTAGAGAAATTGGTGAAAAACATAATATTCTAAATCAACATTTCGCGATGTTTTCAAATGTGCAATTAGACTATTTCTATCACTTTTAAGTTTTAATATTATTAAAAAATAGTATTTACATATAAAAAAAAATTGTTTTAAATTAATACTGATTTTGATTATTAATATGTTAAAAATAAGGAAAATGACATATTTAACCTATTTTTTTAATTCTTTTAAGTTGATTGTTGTAAATGTTTATAATAAAAAAAAAATAATTTATTTTTCCATAACTTTTAGCTCAATTGGCAAGTTTGACATTGACATCATTAAATAGAAAATTTTATCACAATTAAAAAAATTGTATCGTTAAGTTCAATATGCAGTCAGAAAGTTTTACAATTACTATTTATAGTAAATTTATCAGAGTAACAAATATTTTTTTGCATTTTTATGGTAATAGATAACTTAAATAGAAGT